TAACTTGATTTACTTGACGTACTTATGACCATTTCAGCTGAGCGACTTCAAGCTTTGCGCAAGATTTTTCAAGGACCGGAGCCAGACTCTAAGTTTGGCCATGATCAACTCATGATCGCTGCTGCATTCAGTCCTTTTGTTCACCCTGACGTCTTCTAGGCATGCTCGATAACGTCTGATGATGAGAAAATCTGGATTTTCGTTGATGCACTGGAAAATGCTATATGATCTTATGCGCTGACTTGCCGGGAAACGACGGCAAGTCAGCGCATAAGCAGATCGTATGCGAAACTTGCCCAACAAGCAGATCGTACATATTGCATATTTCTGCCAGCTCATAATCATTGTCATTCATCTGGCCCATGACGTGTTTATACCAGGAATCTAACAACGAGCAGTTTCTCGTGCCGCTTTCACGCCGAAGTCACCGAGAACAATCACTAGATTATGAGTGCTACCCAGCTGTAGCAACAAATTCACTGTCACTACATTCTTCCATTACCGACTGTACCGCATGGTCGAATACAAGCCAGTTACCGTGATCCGGTTCCTTTGTACGCAGATCTGAACTTCGATCGGGTGCCACGTTCCAGTGCACATGAGCTCCTTTTGTCCTTTTACTGATCATCAGTACAACACTGCATCTGAGAGCTGCACGTTATGTTGCATAGCCTGCACCAGCAGAAACCATAACTTCCATAACGACTTTTCGAACGCATTGCGCTTCTTGCATTGTATCAACCTGCATTCTTATCCGACGCAGTGAAGCCTGTCCAGATCTATTTAACATTGGCAAGTTTCACGTAGCGAACTGCGTTCGATACCTCGTGAATTACCTCAGATGCCTGTTTTAGTCACATCGTTCCATCGACTGTTGTCGATCAGGTGACAAGGAGGAAGGAGACAGCGCGACACAGCACAGTGATGCACTGCACCATCTATGATGTCACTTAACCGTTCCTTGTCTTAGTGGTTCCATCAGCAACTAGCAGCAAGGGAAGGTGCGACTACGCCGGGTAAATATTTAGAATTGTCTAAAGAATGTTAGTGTAACCGCGGTATCGAAAACTAGCGCTTTGTTAGTAAGCTCATTATACCGGTATGTTTTTGTTAGCATAACTATGCTAGTACTACTATCTTTGTGCAACTTTTACATAAATATGTAATCTAGGGTTAACCTTCTGAGGCTGAAAGCAAGGTATAAATTTTTATGAATAATGAAAACGAAGGAGAAGAACTGCTTTGTATATGAGATGCGAGTTATCGCAAATAAATTGTTCTGAAGGAGTCTATCAATCTAGCAGG